TATTCATTAATTAATTAATCATGTTAAGAACAACAATGATTGGTCAAGCAGTTGCAAAGAATCTTTTTGTAGAAAAAGTCAAAAAATGGAATGGCGAGGGTGCAGATGAATAGGGATTGACGTGAAATTATGATTCTGGACCACACCATTCTTCAGACAAAACTTGATCATTACAGCACCATCTATTGGTCATGAGGTCTTATGTTTTTAGATCTTATGGTTTTTGTTGCACCAACGCATTCTGAAGTGAAAGTTAAGTCAGAAGAAAAAGAATAGTGAGAGGGTGTCTGCACTTCTACTGCACAGACCCCTAGAAAACCCCAGCACGACAAAACTCTGAGACAAAATAAACTTTAACGTCATGCTCTATTATATGGCCTGAAAATCTAAAGTGTGGTGCTGATCCATTTCTGTGCTTCATTTGGATTCTCTCCCAAATCCTGTAATTACACTGGTCCCCAATTCCTTTCACATCATTTCCTTATTAACAGCTTGTATAATGTAATATGCATTTCAGTCCCCTCCCAGCCTGGCATTCCTGGTGCCCCCTCTAATAGTAACTTACAATCATCACCTCAACTCTATGAGATGTTTTAAATATACTCTTACTGACAAAGTTGGAAAAAAAAGCTTGACATTTACGGAACAGCATTCTAACAGAATTAGTACCATGACAGCAACGGCAGGCTGTTATTCCACTTGTGTCACTTTCTCTGTTCTGTATGTTTGTGTGTGTCCACTGGAGAAAGACAAATGGAGAAACAAATCATCAAACTAAAAGCAGCAGGTGGCTGACTCAGCCGGAACAGACATAAGTAAAGTTTCTGGACGGATGTCACAGATAAGTCTTTCACAGTGTGACTAAGAAGTAGATTGACTGTACAAGCATAAAGAAAACCCTGAAAGTTGTCTGCCAGACAAAGTGAAAATAGGTTCCAGTTTGTTGTAAAGTAGGCTAACATCCATCCTGTCAAAAGTCTGTCCCACAAACCAATTCAAGTTTAACTTTAATGATGTGAATGTTCGGCTGCCACTGCATTGTGATGTAATGCATCATTTCATCCAACAAGCAGGTTATTTTGTTCCCCCTGTCCTTTTGATAGTTGTTTGGTTCATTTGTGACAAACATTACACAAAAATTACTGGACGGATTATTACGAAACTTGGTGGAAGCATGTGGTATGTGTTAGAAGAGAACCCATTTTTTTATTAAAATGTATTAAAATTAGGATTGTTTTTTGACATCAGGCGAATAATTTCCGTGAGTGTGCAATTTGGTGCAGCTTGATTGAATTTAGGAGAACTGATTAGCCTTGGCCTATGATCTGTACTAATTGTCATTAAAATCTGTAACAGAGGATGTGATGGACTCACTTCTTTTACTTCTACTACTTAATCATGGGGGTCAATGTGCTTATGTGGAGCCAAATGCAACAAGGAATATTTTTTCTATTAAACCCACACTGCAGGTAACTTCCCTTTTGGCCCAGGGGGTTTACACATGATCCCAGAGCTAATGGATGTGTTCAGTAATTAGGGGAGACCCTTGCCCAGTGACTCATTTTCACAGGGTGTTTGTAAAAGTATATGGACTAATGCATATAATCTATTTCACCCCTCAGTTCACTTCTATATTTCCTCATATATCATGTCCTCAGAGGCTCTATAGGTTTGCTCTTAAATAATTTGTTATAGATCTTTTGAAGGACCTAACGCATCTTACCGTGGTGTAACACAAAGATTTCAGAATGCACATGGACCAAAGATTGTGAAATCTTGCTTCACATGAGAATTAGATGAGGCTCACTGCCAGATATAATTGATTTTCCTTTCTTTTGGACCACCCTGTCACCACAGATTCCATAGGTTCCTAACATGTGATGTTTGCAGACTTGCTCATTTGTTTTTTGTATATTGTGATGGGAATTAGAAGATGTTATGAATAGCTTAAAAGCAGCTCAACAAACCATCTACATATGAAAATACATTAAAACACAGCGAAGATTGAAAGAAAAGTGGATATGCACAAATAGGCAACAGAAGCTTGTAGTAACATTGAAATATGAGACAACCAGAAAATCATTTCAAGTCCTTCTGATTTTGATCAGTTTGACAAAGCCTACTTCAAAATAGGACCAGGCATCCTTTTTCTTTCTGGCTTGAATCAGAGTCAGATTACCACTTGTTTCCAGAACCTTTTTAGTTAGAATTAGCCAGTGTGACACACAGGAATCATGCCCCATATGTTCCTCTTTGCAGCTTTCTAAATTTAAAGGATGTGCAGTCTCTGGCAAAAACTTACGCATGAAATGATTTCATCCATGCTCATAAATTATTCTTACTCGTGACGTTTTATTTCTTACCATGCATTAATCCTCTTCATTTAT